CCCCAAGAAAGTCCTACTCAAAGTTAAGAAAGGAATGTTATCTGATCTCCTACGTTTGTGCTATGGCCTGACATAGAAAAAATGAAATATTAAACTCGTTAATATGTTTATTTCAATTGAATATTAAATACTTTGGAACCCAAAACTTTAAGTTTAAGCATCTAGAACAACTAGGCTTTTAAATTTTTCATTTGCGATGCTTATAGCCAAGTCTTTTGTACATGTATCCAGTTCAAGCGATGTGAACCACCACCCTCCTAGAATCCACAAATAAATCACCCTCTTGAAAATTAGATCTTTTTAAAACTGCATTTATTAGTCTAATTTTAGCTTCTGCAAATTAAAAAAAAAAACTGAGAAAAACAAACATGCTTTCTAACTAGTACCTTTTGAAACTGTGCTTTTATTGTTCACAACTTTCCTAATCCTTGTTGAAACATTTTCTAATTATCTTTCAAGTAACTTTACCGGAGAAAGTGGAAAACTTTTTCCTGATGGATCAGGGTTATCATGCTTGATGTAATTAAAGAAGGGAATTGTATGAGACATAGGAATGGATGCAAATGGGACCGTGGCTCCAAGTAAAAGGAAGAAATTCTATTGGTATGAAATCAAGAAATTTATGATCAAGATGAAAAAAGCAAAATCATGAAATTAGATGGAAAAGGTCAAAAGATAAGTGATTGCGGGCTAAAGGCTAAGTGGGAATCCAAAAGGCAAAAGCAATTTTCTTTTCTACAAATGTAATACGGTTTGCCGTTCCTTTCCTTGTGCGTGCTCTGATAATTCAAGGCTTGAATCTTTGCAAATTGTTGTAAAAAATAAAACCGCGTGTTGACTAATTTTAGGCACAAATCAATCAACACTGTAAAAGTAGGTTAAACCCTTATTTTGGTTCCTGAACTATTATATGGACCCTCGATTTGATCCCTAAACTAAAAAAATTTTTGATTTGGTCTCTATTATTTATCATTTTAACCCCGATTTGGTCCTTTCATTAAAGATCTACCTATGTGTCCTGTTATTTGATGGGAAAAGGATGACATGTAAAAGCATTTTGACACCTAGCATGTACAGCGTGGCAAAAAAATGAGTTGGCAAGAAAAGACCTTAAAAATTTTCTTTTTCTTTTTTTTTTTCTTTCTTTGTTTTTCTTTTTTCCCTTTCTTCTTCCCCTCCCTTTCCTTTCACCTTCTGCAAACCCTAACACCTCCTAATATTATATCTAAGGATAACACAATAAATCAACATATCAAACTCAATAGATCCTTCGATTCAACTGCAATTGGGTTGGAAACAGAACCCAGCGCTTGCTAGGTTGGAAACAGAACCCAACGCTTGTTGGGTTTGATCACCTGCAAGAATCTGAGGATAACACAACAAACAACAAATCCATAAATAGATCGAACTCAACAGATCCATCGACCCAACGGTTGCTGAGTTTGAAACATAACCCAACAGATAATAGATTGATAAACAAATTGAACTCAATAAATCCATCAACCCAACGATTGCTGGGTTTGAAATGGAACCCAGCAGCTGCTGGGTTCGATTGCTTACTGGGTTTGATTTCGAACCCAGCACCTACAGGAACCCAACGACTGCCTTGCCTTGTTCATCTTCATCCAACTGTAAGAGCCCAGCGGCTGCCTTGCCTTCTTCATCTTCATCAATCAATTTCTCATCATCATCAAACAACAAAACCCAAACAAAGAAAACATATTATATTTTTTTTTATTTTTTGCCCATGGGTTCGATGGAACCCAGCGCCTGAGTTTCATTGAACCTAGGCATGTTGGCTTCCAAGGGGAAAGAGAAGGAAAAAGAGAAAAAAAGTTTTTTAAGTTTTATTTTTCATAATATTTTTTTATATTATTATTTTTTACATGTCATCACTTTTTTTAGTCTTATTGTCCTCCACGTGCATTAATATTTGACATGTCATCCTTTCCCTATCAAGTAACGAGACACATAGGCGGATATTTAATGGAAGGACTAAATTGGGGTTAAAATAGTAAACAGTAGTGACTAAATTAGGGATTTTTTTAGTTTAGGGACCAAATCGGGGGTTTGTACAATAGTTTAAGGACCAAAATGAGACTTTAACCTAAATATTATTGTCAAGGCGCAAAATATATTAAAATTTAAAAATTAAAAAAATTAAAATTTTATTTGTA